TGATGGTCAGAGAGATCCAGTCTCTGCCCAAGTTAGTTGTGGCACTGCCCAGATTTGCACCCTGACAGCCTGAATCCAGAACTCATACCCACACAGCTCAGCTCTGCCACTTACTAGCTGGGTGATATTGGATAAAAGGCTTAACCTCCCTGCACCTCAGTTTTCCCATCTGTAAAGTGGGATAATAACAAAAATAGGATAATAATAATAATAATGGGAGATAATAATTACAATGTATGTGCGCTGTCATCATCACACACTGCACTGGACCCTGGGAGCTCACGCCCGAGTGTCTGGGTGCTGAGCTCAGTGAGCAGGAAGCCACCCACAGCTTCCTGGAAATTGGCCCCTGCCAGTCAGGCCTAGGGTGCTGCCCCTCCAAGCTGAGGTTCCCAGGGTATTCAGTGCAGGGGGTGCTCTAGGGGTGGGGGTTCCCAGACCCAAGCCAAACCCAGCTCTCACCCACCCTTTGAGGTCCCCACCAAGCCACCTCCACTCTGGGCTAGGGACATCCCCAGCCTGCCACGGGTCACAGGCCTCTCGTACCACTCCTCCCACCATCCTAGGTCACGGGGTGGGGCAGTGGGGGGCTCTCCAGCCAGGCAGCTGATGTCCTCATGACCTCCCTCAGTCCTCCTGGCCGTATGGATGACAGTAATAACCCGCCCAGTGCTCTCCACGCGTCCCACCGCCAATTCATCCACTCTAGGTCACAAGATGGACATCAATGCCCGGGAAGCTGGCTGCCCAGGGATTCGTGGGTCCACTTTACAAATGAGCAAACCAAGAATCTGCCCGGCAGAGATCTAAGTTGTAGCAAGGATTCTGGCTCCTGGGGCAGGGTCTCAGGCAGCCCCCCAAGCCAGCTGGAACATCAGAAGGGAGGAATAAGTGCAGACAGCTCCTAGGAGCTCACCCAAAGACACTACAGATGCAGGCCCCAGTCCTTCTCAACCCTACCCCACCCCAGCCAACACACCAGCACCCCAAGAAGCCCTCCCTGACCACCTGTGCCCTCTGCTCCGCTGACTGACACACCTGGAGCCACCTTGCTAAGAACCAGGCCCTGAGTGTCCAGCCAGCCCACTGGGTTTACCGAGGACAGATGCTCCGGCCCCTACAGCAGCGGCTGGGTCTTGTCCTTGGGGGCGGGGGCTCTGTAAACATCGCACAGAGGGCAAAGATCGCTGAGGAAGGGGCCTCACACATCCTGACCGTGACTCGCAGAAAGATACATTTGATTTGACCCTAGACAGACAGACAGACACAGAACAGCACTGTTCTATTCTGTTCCATTGGGGAAAAAAAAAAAAAGTTCATGGAGACCCACAGTAAATTGATTGGATGATCCGATTAGGGTCCCACGTGGAGCTCAGATCCACAGTTCGAAAAACATCCCTGCAAGGAAATCTGCAAGTCCAGCTCCCTGCCCGCTCTCTACGACAGCGCCTGACGAAGCACCTGTCAGCCAGGCCGGGCGTGCACTGCACGGTGCTCTCAGTTCATCCTCACCACCACTGTGCAGGAAGGAACCATTAGAACTCCATTTTAAATGTGAGGGCGCCGAAGCCCAAGCTGGCGGAGTAAATGGCCTGGGGAGAACTCAGTCTGGTCTGTCATGCCTGGGGGCCATCCAGAGCCACATGCGGCAGGGAGCCCCCCCTCCAATGAGGTCCTCCCCAAATCCCAACTCACAAAACACCATTCCCGGGAGGGCACTGGTTGGAAGAGTAGAAAGCCGCCTTGGACACCTGCATCCCTAGGTTCAAGTCTCAGTTTTACTTCCAATCCAGCTTCCTGCTAATGTGCACCCTGGGAAGCAGCAGATGATGGCCCAAGTGCTTGGGTCTCTGCCTCCTACATGGGAACCCTGGATGGAGTTCTTGGCTCCTGGCTTCACCCTGGCGCAGCCCTGGCTGTTGCAACCATTTGGGGAATGAATCAGTGAATGGAAGTGTTCTCTCTCTACTTCTCTCTCTGCACCATTCAAATAAGAAAATAATTTAAAATGAGTAACATTAAAACAAAAAGGCAGGGGCCGGTGCTGTGGTGAAGTGGATGAAGCCGCCACCTGCAGTGCTGGCATCCCACGTGGGCGCTGGTTCGAGTCCCAGCTGCTCCACTTCCAATCAGCTCTCTGCTATGACCTGGGAAAGCAGTAGAAGATGGCTCAGGTCCTTGGGCCCCTGCACCCACATGGGAAACCTGGAAGAGGCTCCTTGCTCCTGGCTTCGGATCAGCTCAGCTCTAGCCACTGCGGCCAACTGGGGAGTGAACCATCAGATGGAAGACCTCTCTCTCTCTCTCTCTCTCTCTGCCACTCCTCCTCTCTCTGTGTAACTCTAACTTTCAAATAAATTAAATATTTTTAAAAAAGGCACTCCCTATATTAAATCCACTCTTCATATCTGTTGATACTTGCTTAGAGATGGAACAAAGAAAAGGGTTCCGAGCCAGAGCCCCTGGGCTGCCAGGCTGCCCTCACATCCCTGCTCCCTCCTCCTGCCGCCACTTACCTCCTACTGAACCCAGAGAATGGCAGGGGTATGGGGGAGGGGTCCATCTGAGGGCTGGGGGAAACACTCTGCCCCGCCCCCTCACTGTCCTGGGTAGAGCCACTCAAGCCCTCTGTGCTTCCACATCTCCCTCTGTAAAATGGGGCTAACAGTCTCCCCCCAGAGTGTAACTGTGAGGGTCCCAGGAGCTGGTGCAGGAAAGGATTTGGCACTGCACCTGCCATGTAGCGAGGCCAAGTAACTTGAGCGCTCATTAGTAGCCCCGGCTTCCACTCAGTCCCCACCATCAAAAGCAATCGCCATGAGCTCTGGGCGGGTTCCTGCCATCTGCACACAGATACACTATGTAACGGGTCAAATGGTGACCTGTGCAGAGGGCTTATTTAGCAGGTGCCAGGCTCTGCTCTGCTCTGAGTCTTTAAGACAGAGTGTGGTGGGTATTTGTCCATGATGAGCACGTCACGCCCATGACCTTCCCGTCAGAAACCCCGACAGAGAGTGTGGCCAACTCCTGGTTTCCCACACTTCCCACTGTCCCACGCTCCTCCCAGACCCTGCGCAGGGACCACAGCTTCCCCTCCCCCTCCCCCAGCCCCAGCTTTGGTCCTGCTCAGAGCACCCACCATCCCTCCTGGAAGACACCCCAAAGCTGGTGCACTCACCCAATGCCGGAAGACAGCACACACATCGGCGCACCTACATGGGCCCCTTCATCCCTGACAGCAAGAGCCCCCAGGAGGGAGGCCCCCTGAACTGATGGGCTCCTCCAGGGGCCAGAGCCCAGGGCCGCACCCCCGCCCTAGCGCCAGCCCGTTTCCTCATTTTCCCCTGTGCTGTTTCTCACCCAGCCCCCTGCACCTCTGGCCGCCCTGAGAGGAAGTTGCGCAATCCCCAGGGAGCTGCAAATGTGGGGCTGATTACTCACTGGCAGAGGGAACTGCGCTCCCCGAGGTCCCTCTGCCTCCCACAAGTGCCCCAGCTCCAATCTCACCTCCCAGATTGAGCCTCTCCCAGCGGGGGCCCCTCACCCAGCACAGCCAGAGAGACCCAGAGGGCCAGCAGGGCCTGGGTGGACCCACGCCTCCTCCCAGAGCAGCCCCCAGGTCCCCACACACCTGTCACCTCGGCTTCGTGCCTCCCAGGGCCTCCAGACCCCCTGTTTGCAGGCTTGCCCTGGGACCCTGAGACCTAAGGTCACCCCGTGAGACGCGGGGAGAGCCAGGCCGCCACACCCTTTCCACCTCGGGGAGACCATTCACGCTGTGCAGGCAACTTCAGGGCCTTCCCCCCCAGCAGGTGCCACAGGGTCTGCACCCACAGCTCACTTCGGCCTTCTCTCTGGCAGCAAAGGGATGCCCATCTTTGCTGGGCAAGGAAGGTCCCCAACAGGGAGGTGAGAGAGGCCCCGGGCTCAACCCTGGGCCCTGGACATAAAGGGTGAGGAGGGGGCCGGCCTGGGTGTCCAGAGCCCCCAACAATGACCTCTGGCTCCTGTCCCTTGCAGGCCTACACCTGCAAAGGGGCCTCAGATAAAGAGCCTGACGAGCACCTTTTATCATCTCCACAACCTTGGACTCTCGTCCAGCTCAGGACAAAGTCAGAAACGGTTTTTGGCCTGGGCCCCAATGTTCTCAGAGAGCCCCTCATTTCTGCAGCCCTCATCAAAAAGCTGGGGGCCCGGGCAGTTCCCCCGGGGCCCCTGGAGCAGCAGGAACCAGGGCCCAGCCTCCAGCTCAGTGCAGGGGGGGGGGGGGGGAGCGCCCACAAGCCCCGCCTCCCCTGGAACACAGCGGAAGGACCGCTCCCCAAGTGCCTGTGCGTCCACCAGCTTCCCAGGCCCCTGAAGGGGAGGGGCAGCAATCCTGGCCACCCTCGCTTTTCAGATCAGAAGAGTGGGGCTCAAAGCATTGAGCTCGCTCCCCGGAGGCCGTGTAGCCAGTGGAGGGCAGATCTGTTTCCTGACTTATTCCTTAGATCAGAGCTCTGCCCAACCCACCGACCCAGGGGCTGAACCAGTCTTTGTTGTGGGGGCGTCTCCTGTGCACTTGAGGATGCTTCTCCCTGGGGCACAAAGTCGCCCCACTTGAGAGCTACTGCCCTAGAATCTAGAACTCTCAGCTGAAGGGCGCTTCCACCCACGGCTCCAGCCTGGAATCGCCCTTCCTCCCCTGCCAGGCGTGCAGGCGGGACAACTGCAGGCTGTTGAGGACTTCGCCAGCTCAGTACCTTCTGGGAGGACCTGCCCTTGGGTCTCCTCCCAAGACCAAGTACCACCCCACCCCGCCCACAAGCTACACACCTGCCCCCTCTCTGGCATTCAACATGAGTATGATCTTCCAACTAGTTTGAACCTATGCTGCTGTCAGTCCCAAATTTTGAGCACCCCCAGAAACCGCTCATCTATACCAACATATGACGGTATTACGCACGTCGGCAAACAGACAAGAATGAAAATGTGCATTATACCCGTGATGAGATACATACCGACCAGCGTGGCTGAAATAGACAGTCCAACACCGCCAAGTGTCAGCAAGGATACGGGGCAACAGGCACCTGTATGTCACTACAGAGGACTACACTGGCACAGCCACTTGCAATGTTTACCGAAGTTGAGGTAAGCATTGCGTGCTCTGTGCTCCGGTTCCACTCTGTGGCAGTTCCACTCCAGGTTCTGTAAACTCGGGAGAAATGCGAAACGCACTAGGAAGTAGGCACAGGGATATTCTTACAGCAGAGTTTGTAGCCAGGAGAGGAAAGCAACTCCAATGTCCCTGAGTGACACTGAAGATGAACATGCTACCGCTACATTCAAGACGGATGACTGTCACAAACCAGGGTGTGTGTGTGGGGGGGGTGCTTCAGAAAGATGGCAGGAAATGGAATTAAAATATCAGTTTATTTTGGTGCAAACTTTTTTTTGAAATCTATGCACAGTTTTTTTCATAGTATACATGATTTTCATGACAATTCATAAGATCTCTTGTCTGCATGGATTGCAATTTTTTTTGCACCAAAATAAATTTATCTCTTTCACATTTAGTATTTCTTTTTTATCTGTTTGAAAGGCAGAGAGATACAGAGGGAAAGATGGAGACAGAGATCTTCCATCTGCTGATTCATGCCCCAAATACCCAGAACAGCTGGGGCTGGGCTAGGCTGAAGCCAGGAGCTCTGGAATTCAATCCAGGTCTCCCCGATGTGGGTGGCAGGGACCCAGCTAGTTAGGCCATCACCTGCTGCCTCCCATGGTGTGCAATAGCAGGAAGTTGAAATCAGAAGCAAAGCTGGGACTTGAACCCAGGCCCTCCAATATGGAATGTGGGTGTCCCGTGCAGTGTCTTTTTTTTTTTTTTTAACAGGCAGAGTTAGACAGTGAGAGAGAGAGACAGAGAGAAAGGTCTTCCTTCCATTGGTTCACCCCCTAAATGGCTGCTACAGCCAGCACTGTGCTGATCTGAAGCCAGGAGCCAGGTGCAGGGCCCAAGCACTTGGGCCATGCTCCACTGCACTCCTGGGCCCCAGCAGAGAGCTGGACTGGAAGAGAAGCAACCGGGACTGGAACCCAGCACCCATATGGGATGCCAGCACTGCAGGCGGAGGATTAACCAAGTGAGCCACGGCACCAGCCCCCCGTGCAGTGTTTTAACCGTTATGCCCAACGCCAGCCCCTAAACTCATCTTTTAGGTCCATTTTCCATGAACATGTTGAAGTACCCTCATAAAATGTTCAATGGGAAAAATATGACACTGACATGAGCATAACTCAAGTCACTGCATCTGTATTAAATTCAAAGGCAGAACTGCCCCGCCTTGCTAGGGATGCCGCAGAGGAGTCCCGTGATGAGAAGCCCGGAGCTGGCCTATGGCCAGGACAGCGGAGCCTTCAAGGGGTAACGCAGCTGATCTGGGTGCACAAGCTACATTCTGCTTCTTCATCCGGGTGGCGGTTACCGTGGGGTTCACTCTACAAGTATTTACTGTGAGAGCACTCCAAAAGGTTCATGGAAAAGGGAATTAAAAGGTAAGTTTGTTGATGTAGAAAATTTTGGAAGCCATGCAGTTTTTATGATGTGCATTTTGCATAAATTTTCTGAAGACCTTTCCTACATTAGAGGCGGGTATTTCTGCTGTTTCAGCGACTACGCTATACTTCATAACAAGGGGGAGAGCCGAGGTACAAATAAATAGAAACGGAAGTCCTGATACCTTCTCCCCACCCCCGACTCTGAAAGGATACTATAATTAGACCCGAAAAGCTGAAGGAGAAGCTGTAGCCGGTTCCAGGTCTAGAGGATCTGGTGACGCTGGGCGCTGGCTATGGAGGGACACCCCTCCCCACGCTGGCCCAGGCCACTGGCTGCCCCTCAGCCCACGGGAGCCACCACAGCCTCCTGTGTATCCCACCTGCCAGGGGCCCCAACTACCCCTCCTGGTCAACGTGTTCCAGGGTGCATCAGGCTGGGCACCTGCACACTTGCCTCCCCCCCTCACCTGGGCCATCCCTCCCAACCCCTCTGGGGAAGGCACTGGGGACAGGTCTCAGTCATCCCCCAAGCACACCAAGAAGAGGGAAATAGAGAAATAAGGAGGATGGAGAAGGAGATCAGAGAGCAGGAGCCACACGCACTCAACAGGGGCCCTGTGCCAGGGGCTATGGAGCTAAACGGGGGCGTCAGAGGACTGCGGGAAGCTGGGCGATCTAAAGACGGGAAAAGGAAGTTCTAGCGGCGAGGGGCGCGAATGCACTGTCCGGAGCAGCAGGCCAAGCCTTGGGGCTCAGCCACAAGCAGAGCCAAAGAGCACCGCTTCCCGCCAAGGTGCGCAGTGCTGGCTTCCCAGGGCACCGCCCACTCCGCCGCCGAGCGACTCCCAAGGAAGGACTCTGCCCACGAGGGAAGGCTCTTGGGCCTGCAGGTGAGAGGAGCCAGGGAGGGACAGAGCTGGGGCTCAGATGGTGGGAGGGACTGAGGGCCTTATCCACACTCAGCCAAGCTTCCCGGTGCCGGCAGGAGCCCAGGGCCAGGCCCCGCCGTGCGCCTGCGCACTCGGCGAGCTATTTGTCACTGCGCGTTATCTTCCGTCACTCCTCTGCCTTCCTCTGCCCTCAGCGGCCACTCCGCTCCCCTGGCAAGGGAGGAGCCATGTTCTTGTTCCTGCCCTGGCCCAGCAGCGTGGGTACGGCGCTGAGGCCGGAGGTCGTCTCCCGGACACCGTGGGGGTGGCAGGAGCTGGCCCCCAAAGCCCCAGCTCTACAACTCCAGTCAGTCCTGAGCCAAAGCCAGCCAGCACCACCCGTGCCAGCGGCCGAGGGCACACCTGGCTAGAGCCAGGAGTGGATGAGAGGCAGTGTGGGATTTAAGGCATAGTGTATCACCTCCTGGCGATGCCACACCCTTCAGGGCCTGCAGGGGGCTGAACAGGTGCTGTCCCCAAAGCAGTTATAAACAAGGCAGAGGACAGGCTGTAACTTCCCTTGGCAAACAGGAGCAAACAAACCTGAGCCCCACCCCACAGACCCACTGGAAGAACCGGGGCCTGGGGGTGGTGCTGGCCATCTCTCCACGGGGAGGGGCAGGTCCTGGATTGCTGGGGGGTGGGGAGGGGACAGGGTAGAGGCACAGGGCTTGGGACCTTGCCAAGCTCTGGGCAAGGCCCCTGGGTATTGGACGGTGAAGCACCTGCAGAGTAGAGACTGGGTAAAGCACCTGTGTGCACGTGCCGGGGGCTCAAGGCACGTTCACTCATTCATTCCACTAAGGTTTCCTGAGCATCCCATACACGAGGCTGTCTTCCGGGTGCTGGGCCTGGGCAGTTCCAGTCCTCTGCTGACCCGCTGGCTGACTCCAAGCTCAGCCCCACCCCTCAGCCCTCTCCTCACCTCCTCCCAGCCTTCACCCCAACAAGTCCAAGGTCAACTCTATCCCCCGGGGATGATCCCCCAGGGTTTCCTCACCCTGTGCTGCCCTCAAGGCTCAGGACCTCCTCCTAGCAGATGATGGATACAGCACTGCCTCCAACACCTCCACTTTGGGCCAGGAAAGGAGAAGGGGACACTGTGTGTGTGTGTGTGTGTGTGTGTGTGTATGACCACAAGAGACACCATGTGAGTGAAACTCGCCCTCCAGGGGGCGGGCGGGAGAGTAAGCGTGGTGAGGGGTCACTCGGACCCCTGCTCCCTTCTTCCCTCACTGCCCCTTCGGCTCGCAGCATCTTTGCCGCAGTGCCCTGCCCCGTGCTCTCATGGATGCCAGTAGCGCTGCCCGCTCTGCTCTCCTCACCATGCCTTCATCCACAGGTGCAGATCTCTTAAGCACCTGTCCCAGAGAACGGGACCAAGAACTACAACGCTGAACTGCGGGTTAACCGGAGCGGAGGGCAGAATGGGGGAAGGAGGGCAGAGGATTGGGACAGGGGGCGGGCATGACAAATGCTCTCAGGAGTCACCTGTGGGGGCCAGCGCTGTGGCGTAGCAGGTCAAGCTGCTGCCTGTGACGCCGGCATCCCATATGGGCACTGGTGTAGGTCCCATCTACTCCACTTCTGACCCAGCTCCCTGCTAGAGGCCTGGAAAAAGCAGCAGAGGATAGCCCAAGTGCTTGGGCCCCTGTCACCATGTGGGTACAACTCCAGGCTTTTGCCTAGCCCAGCCCTGGTGGCTGCAGCGAGGCAGTGAACCAGTGGATGGAAGATCTCTCTTTGTAATAATACATATAAATAAAAATAAATAAATAAATCTTTAAAAATTTTAAAAAGAAAGCTCGTGCCTGGGGAGAGGAAGCCCATGCCCTGTGGTTCTCCAGCATGCTCTCAGGACACGCAAGAACAGCTCAGAAATTCAAATCCCAGACCTTACGGGGTACATCAGAGTCCCTGTGACCAGGCGGCCAGTTTTTACAGTTCCTCCCGGGAATTCTGATGCATGCCCAACTCTGAGAACCGCTGCCCTAGAGAAAAAGCACTGGAGGCCAGCGCCGTGGCTCACTAGGCTAATCCTCCACCTAGCAGCGCCGGCACACCGGGTTCTAGTCCCGGTCGGGGCGCCGGATTCTGTCCCGGTTGCCCCTCTTCCAGGCCAGCTCTCTGCTGTGGCCAGGGAGTGCAGTGGAGGATGGCCCAAGTCCTTGGGCCCTGCACCCCTTGGGAGACCAGGAGGAAGCAACTGGCTCCTGCCATCGGATCAGCGCGGTGCGCCGGCCGCAGCGCGCTGGCCGCGGCGGCCATTGGAGGGTGAACCAACGGCAAAAGGAAGACCTTTCTCTCTGTCTCTCTCTCTCATTGTCCACTCTGCCTGTCAAAAAAAAAAAAAAAAAAGCGCTGGAATCAGCGAGAGGTTTTTTTTTTCTTTTACTGCCAATGTCCAGGCGTCTCAGCCAGAGATTGCTGACACAACGGTGTTTTTTCAGAGCTCCCCAGGTGGCTGTAACACCCAGTCCAGGCAGCAGGGAGCCGGAGCAGTGCGCTGGCCTCCTGGAAATGGGGCCCTTGAGGGAGGCTGAGAACTGCTCACAGGGAGGGGCGGAGAGGGCATGCTGGGGAAAGGCGCCAGCACCAACAAGGGCTGGCGGGAGGCAACACTGGCTTCTGGACGGAGACTCTGTCAGGACCCCGGGAGTAGTCCCCAAGGCCTCGTACTGTACTTGGGGATCCCTGCGGTAGGCGGAGAGCCAACGTGACAGCCTGCCCCCAGGAAAGCTGCTGACGACCCCACCTGGTGCTCTGCCCTCTGATGTCACCACTGCCCCACAGAGCATTTCCTGTGGGCACGATAAGCCTCAGACCTTACCCTGTCCCTGGGACTTCATCTCTGTCCTCAGTGACACCACAGCCAAGGGGTGCAGAGCAGGGGAGGGGCAGGCAGGAGGAGGCCACAGCAGAGTCATAGCTGGGAGTGGGCGGTATGTGGCCAGGCCAAAGGCAACTCTAGGAGATCCAACGGGCAAGGCAGGGGTGGGAGAGATGCTTCAGGCACTGCCAAGTGCCCTACGCAATCCTGGCAAATGAAGAGACCAGGCTGGTGGGGTGCAACAGGCGTGGCAGAGACCGTGGCCGTGAGTGTGCAAAGCCTCCCACGAGGTGTGATGTCTGAGGATGTTAGGCACAAGAGGAGGGACATGGGGAGGCCTGTTTGAAACCCACACACTTCATTCCTTTCCTGGGGCTCCCTTTGTCTCTACTGCCTCACCTGGAAATGAGAACGACAGACAGGGAGGTGAGCGTTTGGCCGCCTGGCGCTTAGGACGCTGCTTGGGGTGAGGACATTATGCATCAGGTTAAGCCACCTCCTGGACACCTGCATCCCATCCTGGAGTGACTGATCCGAGCCTGGCTACTCCAGGTCTGATGCAGCTTCCTGCTAATGCACCCTGGGAGGCAGAGGCTGGTGGCTCAAGTGCTTGGGCCTCAGCCACACACATGGGACACCCAGATGGAGCTCCTGGTCCCTGGCTCCTGGCTTTGACCTGGCCCAGCCCTGGCTGTTGTGGGCATTTGGGAAGTGAACCAGTGGATGGAAGGTCTCTCCTCCTCTCTCCCTCTGCCTCTCTTTCTGTTGCTTTTCCTTTCAAGTAGATAAAAAGAAATAAATAAACATTTTTAAAAGATGCTGCTTGGGAAATCCACAGCCCATATCAGAGTTCCTGAGAGATCCAGATGGAGTACCAGATTCCTGGTTTCAGCCTGGCCCAGCCCTTTCCATCTCAGGCATTTGGAGAGTTAACCAGCAGATGGAAGATATCTCTCTCTCTCCATCTCTCTTCCTCTCTCTCCCTCTCAAATAAATACATCTTTAAAAAGAAAGATAAATGATTGTAAGTTAATTATTTACCATTCTAAGTGCTGGGTATGCATCATGCATCAACATAAACGGCACTTCAAGAAGCTTGCAGAGGTACAACTAAAAACTGTTTATTTTGGTGCAAAACATCTTGCAATCCATGCATCGTTTTTTCATGACGCACATTTTACACGCCCTTTTGGAAGAGCGCTCGCTACAGCACTCTGTATTGGCTGCTGAGGCGCGCTGAGGCCCCGGTCGCACAGGAGCAGGGACTCCAAGCCGGATGGCCTGGCCCCAGAGCGCAGGCTCTCAGCAGCCCGTTGATGCGGCTGCAGTGCCCCATCACCCAGTATACAACACTGTGACCCTGAGAACCCACCTGAGGTTGCTCCAGCAAGGCCAGCCTTTAGCTGAAGCTCAAGTCCCAGCATCCCTGCAACCCACATCCTTCCCTGCTTTGGTGCCCTCGGCAGAGATGGGTCCCAGGCTTGCCCAGGAGGGGACCCCACAGATGACCTAGGTTCCCAGGTTAGGGAAACTGAGGCTGAGCAGAGCAGGGACTTGTCTTAGCCACACAGCCAGTCAGAGGCAAAGTAGGGGTCTCCCGATTCCCAGCCCATGCCCTTGGGCCCCTCGCTCCCATCATCCTCACCCAATGATCCCACTGCCTCCTCTCCACATCTGAGTTCATGGCATGGAGTCCCTGGCACAAAGCTGGGCTCCCAGGCAGCTGCTAGTTAAGGGCTGCTTCCTGCCCTTCCCAGGGCATCCGAGTTTCCGAAGAGGCGCAGGAAGTCTGAACACATCACCCCACCCCACCCCGCCCCATCAGGACTTGGTCACCCACAGCAGCACCTCTGCAGAGAGGCCAGGAGACAGGTGTAGGCCCAGAGCAGGGGCCTCGGCGGTTCCCACCCTGCTCAGAGCGGGAGGTCATAGACAGGGAGGTCTCCCGACCACTCCTGGGAATCCTGGCCGTGGTCTGAGCTCAGTGGGGCCTCACAGTATGCAAGGCATGCCTCTTGCAGGCGGTGTGATTCTAAGCCACTTGCTTAGCTTCTCTGCATTAGCAAACGGTAAGGCCTACCACACTCTGAAGCGCAACCACACCACAAATGCTGGCAGTTATGGCTGCTAACTACGTTTTACTATACTACTGTGAAGAGATGAAGATTCTCCTAATAGAACAGAGTTAATGCTGCGCTCCCAGAGTCACGCTTACACACAACGCAGCCACGCACGCCCACCTGGCCCCCGATCGCCTCCCAAGCACACACACAAGCCACACGCGTGCTCACCCTCACGCTCACACGGGCTTTCACGGCCCTCCTTCAGCTGAGCAGACACACACACACACACGGACACTCGCTCGCTCGCTGCATCCTGGGATGTGGACATTTCTGGCAGCTCTGGGAACCCTGAACTCACTCCCTCCCGTTCAGAGGAGGCCAACTCAATTTCCACGGTCATCTCCAGGGCAGCCCCAAGCCGGGCCCCAAGCGCTGCCTGCCTGCCCTCCAGCCCCAGGACAAAGGCCCAACCTGGCTTTCATGCCAGCTGCAGTTGGGGAAACCCTGCTGCTGAAGCCGACTTTGAAAAGGAAGAGACAGAAAGCAGGGGGTGGCTGGGCCACTCCCTGTGGGGGCAGGTGCTAAGTAACTCTATAAACTCTGGCTAATGATGCAATTACAGCCATAAACAGAGCCTCAGGGGGGGGATCAGGGCCAGGGCCAGACCCTCCGAGGGCAGCCAGGCCTGAAAGGTGGGAAGCCCCTCCCACCTACTTCCCAGCTCCTGGAATAAGGGGGAGGAGAGGTGGCTGGCAGTGGGCCCTGGCCCATCCAGGGACCCTGCTGTTGACACAGCAGGCAGTGAGCCCTCAAAAGCCCAGCCGCTGTCCTTGGACTCAGTGCCCACCTGAGACCTCACCTGCCACATTCCTTGTTGCCCCTTCCATGAGACCCCAGAGCGCACCCCACCCCCACTCTGTAAGCATATCTGGCTCCTTGCGCAGGAGCTGAGCACGCAGCCACCTCAAACCCTCAGCTCAGGAGCCAGGAGGCATGCGAAAAGAAAGCGCCCCTCCAGCTGCTGTTTCCCCCCCTGGGGTGAGGGCTGGGGAAACTGAGGCATGGGACCAGCACACCATCAGACTAACCAAGCTGCGTAGTCCCCTCCCACTGCCTCTCCCGGCTGGCCACTCGCTGCAGAAGACAGACCCGAGGCGGGGCTTGAGCCAACCCCAGAGGGCACAGGCTGAGGAACCAGCCAGGCCTTGCGGGTTCCGACTGAGAGCAGCCGCATCTGGCCGCCCTGGAGGAAACCAGAGACCAGACCCCACCTCACCCCGCCCCCCCAACCCCGGCTGCCCAAGAGCGCCGGGTCTGGGCCAGCAGGATCTCTGCCAGGGCGGTCCACAGACCTGAGCTGTCTCCTCCCCTGCTCCGAGAAGCACCCTCTCGCTCGGAGTAGGGACGCCAGTGGAAATTAACCGACACTTCCCCAGCCAGTGAGCGCTCAGCCCAAGAGCTGCGCCCAAGTTCAGCCCAGAAGCTGTCGGCGCTGCGCCG